CAGTTCTGTTTGTGACGATATATATATATATATATATCATCACAATATATATATATCGTATATATATGGTCACAAACAGAACTGCCCGGTAAACCGTAGGCAGAGAGAGAGAAGAGGACAACAAACGAGGGGCTGTGACAAACTGTTCCGTCGGAGTTTCACCGACTCATCAGGAGGCTGATATATATATACAGGGTCACCAGCCCGTACGTACGGAGGTTCCCGGGCAGACCTCCGTACGTACGGGTGTTCGGGGTCCCGTACGACGTTCGAACCGGACAGCATTCGGCCCCCGCTAAAAACTTATTTCGGGGCTTAAAAATAATCTTTTTTTTCTGAATTGTTTTTTGTGAGTTCTCTATGACGTGAGGTACATGCCTTTAAATTTTCAAGTTCTTTGGATCAGCCAAATAAGAATTAAAAATCGCCAAAGATGGGGGTGTCAAAACGTGCTCGCCCACATTTGTTTTCATTTTTTACTTTTTGTTTTCACTTTAGTTCGGGGTCTAAACAATTTTATTATTTTTTGAAACTTTTTTAGTGAGTTTTGTATTATGTGAAGTACACATCTATAAATTTTAAGGGCATTTACCTATGCCAAAAAAAAAAAGAAAAATCACCAAAGATGGCGGTGTCGAAAACATGCTCGGGCACTCACTAAATTAAATTCTCTTTTTATTTCTATTTATTTTTATTATTAATATTTGTTCTCGGTATTTTATTTTTATTTCAAATTTGGTAAGGAATTCGGATGTAATGCTCAGGCAAATCTTGTTTAATTTATTTTTTTTTCAGATTTTTTAAATGATAATTTTATTTTATTTTATTTTTTTTTGGGTCCGCGTTCGGCCCGAACGGCCGAACGCATCCTCAAGGGGTCCCATACGTTTGGGAATATAAATAAGAAGAATCTATCAATAATCTGATAAGTATGATATTATATAAATAATTTAATAGTTAATATAATATACTCTTTTAAGAGTATATTATATCGAATAAAAAGTCGAAGTATCGGGATGGCTGCCTACTCAAAGATACACAGATTTACCAAATCTTGGAGAAGGGGTTTATGTATGTGGATGCATTTATTATTTCAATGTATTTATTATATTATATATATTTCAATATATTTTACATTAGATTATAGATAGATATAGATATAATATACACATATTATTATTATACACATATTATCTAAATATAATACTTTATTTACAAATTAAAAATATATATTTTTAAATTTTATTCTTTATTTTGAATTTGGTGAAGAATTTCGATGTGACCCTGAGGCAAAAGTTGTTCAGCTTATTTTTCTGCATAACATAATTTTTTGTGGATTTTTTGGATTTTTTGGATTTTTTGGATTTTTTTTTTTTTTGCTGGGACCTTCCCTGGTCCTTGCACGGGCTGCCCACTCGGGACCCGGGCGGCCCGGCTGGTAGCCTAGTGTATATATATATAATATGTATATATTAATTTGGTAAGAGCATTTCTCTTGTCTGACTGCGCTTGATGTACGCTTGAACTTTTTTGTGAGTCAAGAGTAGTGCAGCGACAGCTCTTGATGCACGCTTGAACTTTTTTGTGAGTCAAGAGTAGTGCAGCGACAGCCTTGATGTACACGAACTTTTTTGTGAGTCAAGAGTAGTGCAGCGACAGCACTTGATGTACACATGCACTTTTTTGTGAGTCACGAGTAGTGCAGCACGGCCCTATATGTCTGCCAATTTCCGTTTCGTTTTTCTTTTTACCTTATGTAAATTAATGATGTAATGGGATTTCTTTTGTCTTCTTTCACAGGAGTTTTCTGCCTGTAGATCCCACTTACCCACACTCTGTGTTTTCTGGCTGCAAATCCTCTGACTCTGAATCTCTGCCCCGGCCGCCCGGAGTGAAAGATCCAGGCAACAGGGCATCAACCCTGATCTATCTATGTACCGGTGGTTCAACCCTTTTCTTTTTTTCCTTTTTTTTTCCAAGTAGGAGCTTTCCATTATGGTGGTTTAAACCAGCAGCACTTCCTAAAGTCGTGCCCGTAAACGGTACCCGCCACTACAGGAGCGCCCAGATTCATCAGACTAGAAACATTTCTACTCTATTTTTTTTTCAGCGGCCTATAGCTGGGCCAAGTACTGGTGGTTTAACTGTTCAGTCACCATGGACATGCACTAACTCCTTTTCAAAAAGGTCTTTAAGCTTCTTTTGTTGTTTTGTTGGCCGCCTCTTGTGTTTGATGGATCAGACTATGATGGGTGTTCTTATCGGTGTAATTGGTGCTGATGGGTGGCGATGATGAGTGTTTTCATGGGCGAAAAGACCCGTCATGGCTGATGGACAAGATTATCATGATGGGTGGGAATGATGGGTGTTTCATGGGGGTAATAGGAGCCCGCAGGTGGCAGTGATGGGTGTTTACATGGGTGTATATGATGGGTGTATATGATGGTCTTGGTCGATGGATCAGACTATGACGGGTGACGATGATGGATTTTTTTATGGATGTGATGGGAGAAGATGAGTGGAAATGATGGGTGTTTTCAAAGGGGTAAATGATGGCTGTTTTCATCAGTGAAAAGACAGTCAGCCACCATGGTTGACATTATCAGACTATGATGTTTTGGTGGGTGTAATAGCTTTTCATTCCCTTCCTGTCTTTTTTTTTCATGTGTTTGCAGTGGGAGGCGAATGCAAGCCAGACTGCGCTACACGTTGCATTGGAGACGATGGGTGCGGCGGCTTTTGCAAAGCGCCACAGGGCAATGACTGCACTGACTGCTGCCTACAAGACAGTGTGTTCCGCAGCACCTACGCTCCCGGAGGAGGGCTTCCAGAATGTTATCAATGGTGTTTGAGCAGAAGCGATAGCTTTTTCGGATACCTATCCCATACAGGTTTACCGCTCCCAAAAGGGGTGAGCATACCAGGAGAGACAGTTCCTCCTCCCCCTGACAAGTCAAGCTCACAGGCAGAGTCATTTGGAATAGCTGAAAATGGATGGAAGAAGTAACTTCTTCAGCTTACCTGTAGTCTTTCGTCTTCGAGGAATTCCAGTAACCTCTAAAGTTGGCTTCACTGCCCCCTTCTCTCTCTCTCTCTCTCTCTCTCTCTCTCTCTCTCTCTCTCTCTCTCTCTCTCTCTCYYKTCTCTTATACACATCTAGATGTGTATAAGAGACAGGTGTGTGTGTGTGTGTGTGTGTGTGTGTGCATGTGTGTGTGTGTGACCACATGTGAAGCTGCAATCAAGTTGGCAATTTAAACTAGCCCAGTCAGGATGATGGGTTAGATTTGCTCTGATCAGTACACATTTTCGCAACTGAATCGTACTTCACCTTTGACACAGCTTTGGAGGATTCACTTCTCCGTCTTCCTCCGGGTTTAAGGACCGTCTTCCCGTATATAGAGCTTATGTCATCTTATCCGCATTTAGCCGGAGTTCAGGCCAGGTGCAGTTAGGGTGAACCAGCATTCTTACTGAGGGGAGATGTTTGAGATGTGTGGGCATCAGGAAGTGGGAACAGGGCATTGATGTCCCGTCCGGGGAGGCGGGGCGGTATGAGGTAGTTGGACAAAGGTGTTAAGGCCCTGTTACCTGGAACTCAATCTGTCAATCATTAAGGTGTCTGGATTTGGCCAGTTCTCTTTTTTTTTCTTTCTTTTTTTTGGGTTCTGTTTCCGGGCCTCGGACCCGAGTCGTCTGGGTGAGGGGTTCTTTCTCTTTTTTTTGTTTGCAGTGTGGTCTGTCTGTGTTATTGGGCTGAATCTTCCATTGCCTGGGTATATGGAACCGTTTTTCACTTTATTTACTTTTCTTTTTTTTTTTTCTTTTTTCTGTTTTTTTGAGAGAGAGAGAGAGAGTGAGGAATGTCTGAGCAGTCTATTACCTTTCGAGGTTGGAAGCCAGACTATGACAGTCACCTTCCGGAGTCGGCCATTAGGTTATCCAGATGGTCTGCAGAGGGCCCAATTCCTTATGAGACTCCCTCCCGCCACCACTGTCATCATTTCTACCTGGCACACACCTACTCCCACAATGCTACCTCAGTGTCTTCCACTCAGGAGTGTCACCAACCACGTACTTTGTCATAAATAGCACACGACTTCGGAGATGCTCCATGGTGGGGAGCAGCATCTGCCACGAAAGCAGCGTCCAGGCACAATGAAAAATGATACAACTTAGGAACATAAACATCGCCTACGGGCACATACATACAATATATAGTATACAACCACAATACTAAGGATGGGGAGGAGGTCATGATCAACTAATGATGATGACAGGCGTTTCGATGCCCTCGATACTGGTAGGGCAATGGTCCTGGGTGCTGGTCACACTGAGGTAGGATAGTAGGGTTAAGGGATGTGCTAGGAGTATCGACGCAAGGATGGGATGAGAGGTTGCCTCATCTTCTCAGGACAACCGTGGCTGACCGCTTCCAGTAATCACCGTCTGCCTGGAGACTGGCCTCTACAACACCCTGAACACTTCAAAAAAAACAAAAAATAAAAAATAAAAAAGAAGAAGGATTGTCACCGTCCTGTCATCTCAATGCCGGTTGACCCGACTGACAGTGGTTGTAGCCTACAGGGCTAAGTAGGAACTACCCAGCTGAGCCCTGATTGAAGCACAGTCGGACGAGATCTGTCGTACGGGTACTTTGAGCACTAGGCATGGACATTCTTCTACAGGCCCCATAGGTGGGCCCATTACTACCTCCCCCTCCTCCCCCCCCCCCCCCCCCCAAGTTGTTGTATTGTTCGTTATATGTACCGCTGTAATTGGGAACCAGAGGTTCTAGCCTAATATCAGTAGATGTACGGCCACCGTCCACTCTTCTACCTATAGAAGTCTGTGATGCACAACCTCACGCCCTGATCAGAGTAATTGGGGGCGTGGCCGAGGATTTTTGGTCGGGGGTTGAATCACCCGGACGGAACGGGGGATTCTCGCGTCGTTCCGAGGTTATCCCAAAGTTCAGGCCGAAGTAGAGGAGAAAATGGAGATACTAGGGAATTTGAGGGGTCAATCAGCACCGGTGCGCGGGGTATGATTCAAAATTTCCTCTTGGCCAAGGGGGCTGAGAGCAGTGCATGACTAGGCCGACTACGGACAACCTGGCAAAAAAAGGAAAGGGGACAGGGAAGAGCAGAATTTACTGCTTCTCTCATGCTAACTTCACGCTAACTCTATGGCAGGAACCCAAAGACATGGAGCATCTAGGCTTCCGAGTTGGATTCATCGAGTCCATGAGGTCGGCTAGGTGCAGTGTCGTCTGACTCCAATTCGGACAAGACTGGGGGAACCCAGGTTCGGAAGTTCGCCGGGAGGGTGCTCGCACTACGAGAGAGCTATGGGAACCTGGTCGGCCCTTCGTACCCCAGGACTAGCCTCCACCAGGAACACCGGGTCCCCTTCCCGACACCAGCGACAGTTAAATCGGGGCCGCCACGTGGTGTCGGCCGTTGACCAAGGTAGCACCGTCAAATCGGTGTAAGGCAAGATCAGGGGGGGGGGAGGAGAATCGATCAATCAGAACAAACCCACTCCCCCCTACATGATAGGCCTTAGATGGGTTGTAGAAGTGAACCCAGTCAGTTCACAACAGTGCGCTCCGTACGTTCGCATCACAATACACACTACCCTTGTCTGCGATCGAGAAGGGTGGAAGGACACTGTGGCAGATCAACGAGAGGGTTGAGCACGGGCAGCTACCCGCGCTCACATTGAATGAGGTGAATCTCAACTCCACACAAATCTCAATGGGTCTCACCCCACTCCCTCCTCCTATATCAAGATGCAAGTTCAGGGGCACAACGTCGTTAGCCACAAAGCGAAGTGAGCAGCCTGTTCCTTGTGAGCGGATCGGGTCCTATCGTACCGTTGGAATGAGTGTGGAACCGTCAACCATAGTTCCGATCCGTCTGTTTTACGCTTCTCTAGATGACCGTTGATCCATCGGTAGTCCCGAAATCTCTCGGTTGCCCGACGTTTGTCATGCTTTGTATGGTCCTCTAGTGACTTACCCGCTAATTTTGTCAGTAGGATTTTGCTCGTCGGAATTTCTCATCAAAATTGGGTCCGTCAGTTCGAGTGGCCTCGAATTGAGCTTCCGTGGGGAGCTTATTTATTCGACATAGAGCACATTTTCATACTTTGCTAACCATCCGATATCGAATGCATGGGTTATGCGTGCGATTGACGCACGTGGCATAGTTGACCCAATCGACAAAATCCCAACTCGTGGGGATGAAAATCCACTCCGTAAGCTCGCGAAATGCACGTGCAAAAATAACAGAATTTATCCGGGAGATATGAAAAGAATGAAGGGTCGGGGAGCTGAGGAGTAGAAAGATCAGGGAGAGAGGAGGAAGGAGTCGTTGCTTCTGAGTGAAGATTCAAACCCTCTAGAGGATCTCCACCTCACCGAATTTGTGCTCGCTCTTCGATTCCGGATCGTTCAACGGGGTCACCTCCTCATTTATGGTGATCTTGTTAGGCCGGTGCAAACGTGTCAGTTCGTCGACGTTTTCGTGTTATTCTTGCTTCCTGTGGCGAATGTAAATTTCATGCTCTACAACGTGGTGGTCCATCGTCCCATCATTCCCGAGTAATCCTTCGACTTCTTCAAGGCCAGGAGCGGTTCGTGATCCGTGAGCAACATGAACTTCCGGTCGTATAAGTATCTGCGTAAATGACTGATTCTCCACAAAGCAGCAAAGCATTTTCCCCTGTCGGCGCAGAGTAGTTCCTCTCGCAGGGAGGTACTGTCTTCAACGCATTCTTCACCACGTGATCCAGCCCGTTTGGTCCCATCTAGGCCAGAATAGCCAAGATCGCGTCAGTCTGTCAATCGGTGATGAAAATAGAAGGTTTTTTTGGTTCCAGACTCATGACGATAGGGGGCGAAATTAGAGTCGCCTTAAGTTATCAAAATGCTTGATCGCACTGAGGGGTGCAAATCAACAACTGATTTTTTTTCAGCTAGTTCGTGAGGGGTCCTGCCTTTTGAAAGCACTTGGTGCCATCTCCAGCTTTGCGCTTCATCCAGTGGTGTTATAGGTTAGCACGTTGGGTGAAGGGGAACTTGCCTTCGAGAGGAGGTGGGTCTTCTTGAGAAGTTGAGCCTTCTTATGGCTTTTGCTCCTTGGTCTATGTAGTGTTGTGGTAGGCGGTTGGTATGACGCGGACGGAAAGGAGGAGTGCGTGCTTACGTGGAGCGGGAGGAGGATTGGAGGCGATATCGAGTGCGTTGATTTCGGTTTTTGTGTACATCTCTGTCATCTGCAGCACTCTCGCTGATCACCACCAACACCAGCATCGGTGTCATCATCATTAGGGTGCTGCTCGTCACCATCATCATCAACATGGTGTGATTTGACATCATCATCACGGCAATGGTTTGTCATCATCATCAGGGCGCTGCTCATCGTCACCATCATCAGCATCAGGGTACTGCTCGTCATCATCATCAAGGCGCATGTCTCCACTCCTGTTCGGCGCTAATATCATCACTATTATCAAGGAGCCATGCATCAGTGGTGTTGCTCGTCACTCATTGTTGTATCACCATCGTCAAATATCTCTCCATCATACGGCACGATTGGCAAAGCTTGACGTCATCATAGGGCGTTGATCATCATCATCATCATCATCATCATCATCATCATCATCATCATCATCATCATCATTACTGACATCACCATCACCATCATCATCATCATCATCATCATTACTGACATCATCATCATCATCATCATCATCATCATCATCAGTGCGTCATCAATATCAACAACATCATCATCATCTTCATCATCATCATCATCATTATCGACATCACCATCATCATCGCTATCATCATTATCATCATCATCATCATCATCATCATCATCATCATCATCATCATCATCAT